TATAGTTTAAAGAAGTAATGAAGAAGTAGTTGACCTGAGAAACAGACCCAACAGCACAAGTAGAGCTCTGCAGTAGACAAGATCCTGTATGGCCAGTGCCAGGGTATTGAGCAATTAGACTGTTCAATCATTGCTTCCACAGTGATTGAATAGCATTGGCTGCCAGCCTTGGGCTGGCCTTTCCAGCGCCAGTGGAAGGAGATCTCCACCAAACAGGGCTCTCCATCCCAGCTCTTGTGCACCTACCAGCTGAGTTCCTTTGGAATTCATAGATGGGAGTCGATGATGTTTTTGTGCCTTGGGGGTAGCGGGGGTAATGGCGTAATCCTAATGCAAACGAACTACGAGTACTTTGGCAGCAACCGAATCCCTCAGACGATGAGCCATAGTCATGAGCGATAGTTATTCGCCAATGAACAACGACGGTCGCCAATAATACGTTCCCCTTTTTGGTGGTCCGTCAAGCAATAGGTATTCGCATGGGCGTTTTCCACTTGGGCCTGTTCTGCCCTCTGCTGGCAATCCAGCTGTGTCACACTCTCTTTATTATGCTCATCCTGGGGCCAAAATATTTTCTACTTTCATGGAAGCGTACAATCAAATGGAAAGTTTCTACGCTGGCTTTTTTGGTCCATACAAACTGATTTTATCAGGTGGATCTTGTTGGCTTGGCGGATCTAAGCCGGACAAATCGCTTCGAACACAAGCGAGGCGGTACAAGTGCTGCGTCGAAGGATGTCTCTGGAGAGCACAAATCAGGACAATGGCCCCCAATGATCCGTCTTATGGCTCAGTTTTTTGTTTGTACATTACAAACGGAAGTGTCCACAACCACGCAGTGTCCCGGGCTCCTCCTCATCACACAGATCAGTACGGATTGCCGTCAATCGCAAAACATTTTGCCCACAGTTATATCGCACCGATGAGTGGAAATCCACGTGAACTCCCATTGTGGTGCGAAGCAGCTGTGCTGGTTTAGCCAGGTGGAAGAATCGCTGTGACATAAAAAACCAAAATGAAAACAGAGTGCTGATTGAGTGCAATAGACAGCAATCCACGAGCAGAGTCATGACCAAGACCACGCAATAGAGTTGAAACACTGCAGACGGTTATATCCTTGGTGTTAGGTCATATGCCTGCGAGCGCATCGAAAAGGCAGCTCGCTGCGCTCCCCTGTCTCACTCCGCGTTGCAGCTTCCACCATTGTGGCACAGCTGTTTGGCTGATCTTGGTGGTATCATGGTTGGCTAAGGTTGGAGTCAAAGATGTCCTAGTGTATCAATGGCTAAGATGGATGTGGGGTAAAGGTCAGCCGTGGTACTGAGGGTGGATCCACTGTTGATTGATCAGGAGTGGATGTGTGGTTCAGGCTGCTACTCTGTGGTGGTTGCCGGTGGTGTGGTTGGTACCTAGTGGGTATGTGCGGCGTGGTTGCACATCCCGTGGTTGAGCTGTTGCTGTTGTTGTCGCTAGCTGTTCTTGCAGCTTGTTGGCTTGTGGCGCTGCTGCGTCTATTCTCCCCTCTTGCTTTTGCTAGTTCCCATGATGTCTGTGTTGCTGGCTGATGGGTTAGATTAGAGGTGCTCAGTAGTGCTGTGACAAACAAGTCACGAGAAATCCAAAAGGTCTTGGGGTCTTGCGCTTGTTGGTCAATGACCAATTGAGGGCTCCTTGATACACTAGTAACCTTCGAAAACTCTGGTTAATAGTGCGAAAGGTGGTCTTCGTGACGCTTCGAGTTTAACCATATGATACAGTAGCCTTGGATCCACACGGAAGCAACTTCGTGAATCACACGTATGTATCTTCGAGTTCGGAATTACCGAGGAAAATGTGAGAGCGACTCGTATTCTTAGCTCGGCCGTGCTTTCATGAACAGAGGTTCGTGCTACCGGTTTGTGAGTACCGGTTACCGGTTCTACCGCAGTACCTTATCGGAAGGCACGACGGAGAAAGTCCTCGCTCCGTATCGAAAGTGGACAATGATGATAGGCCGTCTATTCCGCTATCGGCAGCTCGATTGACCAAGCCTATTAACAAGCTGCGGTTATCGGTGCTCATTAGACGCTTCAGGTTAGTAGGTGGAACAGTGCGATCACTTGAAGCTCCAGGGTGCGTTATGGTCGCTATTTTTCGGTTCGTCGATATGTTCGTTTTCGGCTGATCGGACTCTAACTTCCTCTCTCTGCTTCTGATTTCCACATCTAGTAGCCCACCTTTGTGCCTGCAATCTGCGACAAGTTAATCCATGAGATAATCATGTGGTAAGATGCACAAGGAGCGGAGTGGAGAGCTTGCTTGGAGTCTCACTCCTCTGGCACTGTGGGAATGTGCCAGCCACAAGCTGTGCTGCCACTTGTATTTTTCATCTCCACTGCAATGATTAAACAACTCACTCTTTGCCTGCACAATCCACACAGGAAGGCTTCAACTGTCGGGGAGAACTAGTGCTGACTGGGTGCTGTATTCTGGTCAACTTACCTTTCTATTACTTCTTCTTCTTTAAACTATGCTAATATCAACTGAACATATAATGCCTCGGACATACTCCAGCCATCAGCTTGGCTCTCTATGCAATCTCACTTGGCGCGGTGCTGGCAAGCTACTTTCTCCATATTGTCTTCGGCGAAGAACTGCATCAGATCCTTGGTAGACTAGATTCGCAGAGTTCCTCATGCTATTTTGTATTGCCATATGGCTGCATTGCTGACACCTACTGTTGTGATATATACAG